ATTTTGATAAAACATTACAGCACTATTTCATATTTGAAGTCATTGCTTTATTTTTATAAATTATCTAAAATTTTATAATATAATACATACACTATATAGTACAATAATGGTCATAAATAATAGTAGATTAGGGTAAATTAAATATTTATTTTTTTGAGTAATTTAATAACAATTTTATTTTATTCATAGTTATAAAATCATATATTTATAAATTTTTTTACATAATTTGTATCATAAATTTTTGGTTAAAGAAGCCCACAAGAATTGGTGCTAGTTTTTACAGCATTGATTGTTTATTAAATTTGGCCAATTCAGGACTAAGTGTGTAGTACAAAAATTTGGATATTTTATGGGTTAGGCTGTCTAGTTTTGATATTGATATACCAATGTAATGTACAAGCAATTAAATAACTATTATCAGTGTTATGGAAGTCAGTTTCATCTATACATACCAATTTCTATGGGTAGATTGGTAAACATTTTACGAATACATATACAAATTATTTATCTATTAAATTATTTATATTGCATGAGACAAATAAGTACATATTATGAATAGAATAATAATAATAATAATAATAAAAAACAAAAAATAGATGATCAGAAAAAGGGTGAATAAGCCCCTTTGATATCCCTTAGGACACTCCTGAATATGTAGTGGTATTATATTATTGTAATCGACAATGGTATAATTGGGTAAAATGCGAATCGATTTGTATGCGTGACACAATACGCGTGGCATAGGTTATTCGACGTACAAGTACTTATATCTATGATGAAACCAAGACTTTTATTTAATTTAAATTTACAAATAGTTATTATTCGTATATTTTACAGGTGCAGGATAACATTGACATAATATTTTGAAATTAAAAATTTTTGAAAATTATTTACTCATTCTGATTTCGTGTTTTCCGCGACAATATAGTTACAATACATGAGATAATGAAATAAATCTTTGTCATATATAGCTAGGTAATGCGCATAATTCGGTAATATTTTACCAACTTATTGAACGCAATTGCCTTTTAAACTGGTAATAAAATACATAAAAAAAATAATATAGCTAACGGTAAAATAAAGTAAAAATATTAAAGTATATTAAACTGTGCAATACAAATCGCTCATTTAATTGTCTTAAAAAATCACATACTCATTGAATGAATCGAGATATTTTATAATAATTCTGTTAAGAAAGACGTTATACATTTATAATGAATAAAAATTAAAAAGCCTTTCATACGCCTTGAAAAAATTAAAAAATTATTGGTGGAATTTAGTTTGTTACATACAAGTATAATTGAAGTCTCCAAATTATAGTTAACTGTATAACTGTATAAACTATAGTATAGTCATTAAAGGCTTATAAAAAATTTACTCGTATACTTATCTATAGTTGTAAGCAGTGCAACGATATTTCAACAAAAATATATAGACTGTTTTTGTACGTATTTTGGTAAGTTTTGTCATCACATCCGGTTCAATGACACGTGTCACTCGTGTTCTAATTACAAAAAGGCTAAGTACGATATCATCACATTCAGATAATATGCATACCAATCATCTATAATTTATATAAAAGTCCTCCAAATTGTATTATTAGAGGGCCATTTAACAGAATAAAAATCACTTATATATAGTAAGCCAAAATTAAATAATAAACACATATATATAAACACATTAATTTTTAATCGTGAAATGTATACTAAATTATAATATAGATACAGGCAATAATACCTTATACATATATCATACGCGACACATGTTGATTGTATGTAATAAAAATTTGAAATTTTATAATCATTATTTTCAGATTATTCAGCATCCTTCCAAAGCATTTTAAAGCTTGTTTAAAACCCGAATACGAACCGCTGTCGCAATTTAGAGAAATATTACAGAATATAATTATGCATCTCCTTTATACTTATGGGCCTAAATTTAGTTATCAATCTTTAATTTCGAGATTTTTTCCTCTGTAATATAATATTAATCAATAAACTCTACAGTCAATAAGAAATGGATAACTATAAGATATAGGATAAGTGAAGAAATATTTAGCTGAGATTTGTATATCAAAAAACTATAATAATACATTATTTATACCTATTTCGTCGGAGATTGTCCATACTTAAAACAAAATATTTAAATTACACTCGATTTTATCTCCTTATAACTTATAAAAATGTCCATTTTTTTGACCATTTCATGCGTATGTTGATCAAAATACGTACAATATTAAAACGACATTATTACATGACCGCAACTAATAATTAGAAATATGGATGTTAATAATAATCATTTTATTATTATTATTATTTTTTTAATTGTAGTTATATAAAACTAATATGCAAAAAAAAAAAAAAAAAATACACTTTTAATATTAAAAATGTATATTATCTATTATTTTTTCCGACTGTCAACAGATAATCGTTAGTAAATTTGTTTCGTATAAATATAATAAATTCCGTTCCAAATGCAATTCAAAAAAAATAAGTGCGTAATTTGACCTCACCTATTTTGTCACGCAGTTCCTACTCATGGTAAAAATATGTTATTCAAACATCTGTTTCATACGACTTTTATTTAGAATCTATTGTATTTACAATTTCCATATACTAAAAATTGTATACAAATACAATGCATGTGTACTTATGGTCGGAGCGAGATCCTTTTTAACCAAATTGTATCCTTCTTTATTTCGACCGATTCACTTTTTGAACAAATTTAAAAAATATAAATATATTAAACATATATGTATATATTGTATACAGCTTATATATTTTTAATAATTTTCTATGTGTATTACGTAAATAGTAATTAAATGTTAAAATGTACACTTTTAATAGCTATAGAAGGTATTTATCAAATAATTATTCCCAAAAATTATAGTATATTATTGTATTAGTTTTGTAAAACTTATATTTTTAGTATGTAACTATAAAATAAATAATACATTTTTTGATTTGATCCAAAACGGAAGGGTATGATTTTAGGGGAAAGCGTCCATGTTCATAGGCCATGTATTCTTTAATATCTATATAAGACCTATAAAAAAATTTTTTTAAATAAATGTCATGTTATATTAATAATATTTTTCTTACGAATAAACTGTATACGTATAAAAATTATTATACAGTTAAAAGCGTGGTTTAAGTATAAAAAAAATATATAAATAGATAATATAATAACTATTACATAAATCGTATATTTATATAGATATTATATACATATAATTATATATACTGCACGCGCACGAAATAGATATATTAATAGATTATATATTATATAATATACTATGTTTATAATATCACGTATACTTATCTATATGCATATAAACTATATAATATAATATACTAAAGCTCGGCATTGTAATTTGCCAATCACTGCTAAATATTTCACTATCTATATACGTATATACGTTTCATTTTAGGTATATAATTATAATATGTAATTTACCATCATGACATTATGCGTATAATATCGTTGCAGCGCTGCAGCGTCAGTGCAGAAAAAGGTATTATTCATAATATAATCACATTGCAACCGGCGTAGTGCAATTTTAGTGACGAATATTAACATTTACTATTTAGTATATTAAATTGCATTGTTTATAGGTATATAAATAAGTAGTGTATAGCAGATAGGATAGGTAAATGTTAATAAGGGAAACAATAAGGCGTAATAGGTATAGCCCAACGAAACGTTGGTGTTGGTGGGATGGGGGAAGGGGATGAAAAAATATTTTTAACGTAATCCTTAACCTCGTTCCCTTTTACTATCGCGTGCCGCTCACGTATGTATATGTATATGTGGTGTGCCTTTATATATAAATTATATACAATACCTATATGTATAAAATGTAAGTATATATAATATATCTAACGGATGAATTATTGATGTGATATATTATAGGAAAAGTGAATCGGCCGCGTGTATGCAAGCGTCGGATTATTAATAATTTAAAACGACCGCCGTTCCTGCGCTGGGAAAAATACGTATAATAACAAACGTTGCAGTGTAATAATGTAATAACAGTCGTATAGGATAGGTAAATAACTAGGTACAGGATTTATATATAAGTATATAATATAGCTGGTTTGAATGGAGGATAAATGAATGTCTATAGCTAATTTACAAAAGTCATGTAAAATTATTCATACGAGTTGTAGGCAACATTTAGAGGGAACTCGAGCGAGCTAAGCAAACTCAGTAAGTATTAATACACCCTAATAATTTAAGTCCTCGGTAATTTGTTTAATCGGATATTAGAACTGTAATAAATTATTGTTCTCGTTTTATATTAATAAACATATTATAGGTACCTATAAAATATTATATAAATCCATATATTATACATGATAATGCCTAATTCGAAGTCAAATATTTTATTATTATTGAACGATACATCAGTGCAAGACCGCGAGTGGAAAAATAAGAGTATTCGGTATATGTACACAAATTTTTCCGTGAAAATTTGGCACCCTATACGTATAGGTACGCCCGTAAAATGAACGGTATACCTAAAACATCGTATTTACGGTGTAGTACGTCGTGTACCTACAGCGTAAAATAAGTCGCGTGCCTACGCAAATCAGTAAGTTCGTCGTTTTCGTCGTCGCGAGACGACGATGGACGGCAGCACGCGCATTCGGCGTCCGCATGGCGCGGCAGCATCGGCCGGTGTGCGAGTACCGACACGCCGCCGGTGGACGACGGCCAGTGGCATCGGCAGTCGGCGATTGGCCGGCAGGCGGAGTCGCCAACACCCGGGCACTGCTGGCCTGTGGGCGTGGCCGCGGCCGCATGGACGTGGCCAAACGTTCACGCACACACGTGCGGTCACCAACGCACACAGCGGCACCGGACACGGCCGGACGGCGGTAGTGCACGGTGGGGCGGGCACGGGCGCGCCTGCGCTCCCTTTTACGCGCACGCACGCGACAGCGGCACACTGTCCGCGGGAACGTTTCGGCGGCGTTGCGTTTAGAGTATCGCGCGCACTCCCACCGGGACGACCATAGTCGCTGTGTGCACACGGGCCGAGAAATTATTTTTATTGCATTTCCTCTACGTTTCTTTGCAAGACGTCCCGTACGCGTCGCACGACGGTGTATTATTATGCCACGGTACACGTGCGCCCGATCGCCAATGCACCACCGGGAATAACGTTTTCACCGTTATTAAAAATTAATTCGTTTTGTTCTATGATATATTTGTTTTCTCCCGCGTTTCTGTCGCCGCGAGACGACGGTCGTCCGACAAACGTCCTCCACGTTACGTACACTTTATAATATTTTTTTGATCAACATCTGTGCAAAGTCATCGGCCGACAACATTCGCTACTGCATGCCAACAAATATTTCCGCTTTAACATTTTCACGTTAAACGCGTGCCCGCAGTCCGCACACACATCACCCGATTGTATACATCGCGCACGCACGTTGACGGACACGTATAGAACGGCGGTGGGCCCGGAAGGCATCACGGTGGTGTCGACGGAAGAAGACGGACGGACGGTGGCCGGCGCCGGCTACTGGACGGGCGGCGCGACCGGCGGCGACGCTGACGCCGCGGTCGCGGCAGCACGTTGGCAGTCAACGTTGGGCACGCTGGGCGGCGGTGGTGGCGGCGGCGGCGGCGTCGTTGTCGGCAATGTCGGTAACGGTAGCGGCGGCGGTGGCGTCGTCGGCGGTAACGGCGTAGTGGGTGGCGGCGGTGGCGGCGAACTGGACCCCGTGGCCGCGTGGGGCCGCAAACTGTACGCCACGCCAGGCAACCATCACCGGAACGCCACCGCGGCCGGCCTCATGTTCGGCCTGCACCACCACCATCACCAAGATACCGGAACGCCCGGTGGTATATCCGGACTGCACCATCATCATCACCATCATCACCATCACCAGCTCCGGGGTCCAGTTACCGGGCTCAAAGAAGAACCTTTGGCCAACTCACAGCTGTCCGTTCCCCGTTCATGGATGCAACCCTCCATCATCGATCAGAGCAGGTATGAAAAACATTTTTACTATTCTTAGTTTTTACGAGGTCCACTTCCGTTGTAGTTTCGTAACATATTTAAATAATAAGATAAAGTTGTAGGTATATAGGTACTTATGGATAAAGATAAAAATAGAACTTTGATAAATTAAATATTTTTAAATCAAAAAATTTTTAACTTTAATATATTTACATTATATAAATATTATAATTCGTCATATACGTTGAAAAATTTTTCATTACATATCGATCGTCTCATTATCAAAATTCTATACTACATAAAAATTTGGTAGTATAATTTTCATATTTTTTTTTCTCCTGGAAAAAATACAATATGTAAAATTTCTTTATAATGTCAATTTGTTCACGACTCGATCGTTTTGATCGTTGCGGTACGTACCCGACCTGAATAATATTCACGATCAACCGTTGGACAGTGTCGGTATTGATCCGACATGTATATTATAACGGGTACCTATTTATGTATATACATAAATTATATAAATATATGAATTATTAATAACGTAATTTTAATAATACCAATAAATAAATTATAATAATTTTTTTTAGGTATTTTTACACCTATTACTTATATATATATATACACAAAGTTATCGAAGAGTTTACTGAGTTTATATAAACATATTATCAAAACGCATATTATATAGTCTATACTAAATTATAAATTGTGTTAAGTACACAATATGTTGATTGTAATTAATTCAAATTATTGGAATTGGTATACACAATTTTTTATGAATAAAATTCACATTACCATAATTACTTCTCATGTTTTATATTTTAAACCCATATATATATAAATATTACATCGTGGTGCATAATTTAAAATAATTGCATTTTTGTAAGAGTGATTAAAATTAAAAAAAATGTCATAACCTTGAAACAATTTTATAATATGTCGATATTTTTTCCATTTTACGAGTAAATAAAAAATATACTATCATGAAGGTCACATGGGTACCTAACTGTAACATTAAATTTTATGAGTTACGTGAAAGTGTTCCGAGTAGATACCTATAGGTATATATATATATATTAGTATAAAAATATTATTTTAATATTTAAAAAAACTCATAAATTTATTTATTTTTTTTGCATTTGTTCAAAATTTATATACTATATAGTCACTCATTTTAAATAGTATAAATATACTTAAAAGCAAAAGTACGCTATCTATTGAATTATTCAATTGTTAAATGTACCTGTAATATTTATTTATTTATTAAAAAATTATTTAAAAGTATCTATAGTTTTTTCTCATAATAATAAGCATTTATAATATACTTATAGATTAACGGTAAAATTATATCTTAAAACTATCAATGTTTAGTTATTTTTAGTAAAATATTTTTAAGCATTTATATCATAATTTATTATATATTTATATCGTTACTATTTTAAGTATTTACATTTCTCAATTTAAAAATTAAGTTTCCGGTATACAATAATGTTTTTAATAATTCACAAAAGATAATCTCTGAAATATTTAAGAGTGCTTAATTAAATTGTTGAGTAGATTCGTGTTTGAAGGTAAATGGTATAATAAAAATATATATGTAAATATAATGATGGTTAAAAATACATAGTAAAAAAAAAGTGTATTTATATTACTATGATAAATTTACTGACTTCTCAAATTGTACAATAACAATTAGTATTGTATTAAGAATTTATAAATGGCCATAGTTAAGCATATTCTGATTGAAATAGTGTCGCTAGAAGCCTCTTACCTTCACGCTATCCAGCTTTTAATTATTAAAATCAACAAACTTAATTATTGTTTTAAATTTAACAGACTGTAAATTGTATATTTATTTATTTTTAATCAGCAAAAAAGGTATATAAGGGCTGTTGTGGAGGGTGGTTAAAAGGACTGGAAAAAAAGAAATATTAAAAAAAAAGTGACTTTATAAAACAGAGATGGAAAAAAATGACTTAAATCTGCCATAACGAGCAAAAAGACCACCTATAGGTACAAATATTGATTATGTAAACAAGACAGCATATCTCATAGGGTTTTGAATAAATTCTCCTGAGGCTTTTCATACGTATAAATATATAAAGGTAGCTAGGGAACCCATATATATATAAATATGTGTGTGTGTATGTGATATGTGTGTGTGTATGTGTATATATATATATATATATATATATATTATTTTACTTTTGCTTTTATAAGTATATAATATTACAAACACGATCGCACAATGTTAAAACTGGATGAGTGTACCTATATAATATGTTTCATATTCTGTCTCATTGTTCGACCCTTATCGTCGTGATTTTGATCGCAACAGTATTTATTGTACGAAAAAAAATATAAGGAAAAGTAGTCCATTTATTCATTCGTAGCCACTCGAACGTTGCTTAGTGAATTATATAGGTATACAATAAATAGTATTTATGTTTTGAACCTTGCCACGGCGTTTAGAGTATGCAATAAAACAGCGCTACAACTCACATTAATTTAATTTATTTTTTTCATTCTTATATTATTATAGTCTCATTTTACATAAACGAGTGCATTTTACTGCATACTTTTGTATCCTTTATTTTTCCGACGTTACTATAAAATATTTAAATACAAAATATGTGTTTATAAAGCGAAACGTTTACGTGGTATCACTTATATAGATACTAATGTAGAATATGCTGTATATGCACATATTAATACATAAAATATAATTTATGCACCTATTACAGTAGATAAGTACATCGGTATATTCGTATTTTAAAAACAAACCGTACATATTGAACGATGCGTACTTAGCAATAACCAAAAAAAAAAAAAAAAAAACGGTATAGTAAAAATTTAGCAGTTAAATTTATTTGAAAATTCAATATTCTTTTATAAGTAATTACATTTTCAAATATATATTATTCATATATGTGCACGTAATATTCTACTAACGCAGCTTAACTAATTCTGACTACTTCAGCAGCAATAGATAAAGTGATTAAGTGATACGCCTATACTTACTCACAATATTACATATGATGTTAATGAAATAAATAAATAAAGCATAAATGTTATAACAATAATTGTTAAAACTTAATTGTCTATTAATTATTAAAATAAACTACTGCAAGTTAACTAAAATTAATCAAGCCCGTTTTATTTTTCTAAATTTTATTGATCAATTATTTTGTTCTGATTGAGAATATTGTATAAAAATATAATATGCATGATCCATTTTATTCATTCATTAAATTTATTGAAAATGGTTTAATTAAAATTTAATAATTAAATAAATGAAATCATTGTACATTGCATTGTGTAAACTGTAAATTATATTTATTACATAATAATTATACTTTTACGAATTTTATGGTATACCTTATACCTACACGTATAAAAATAATGTAACGTAAAAATATTTAAAACTGTTATTTTCATAATAAGCATCTATTTATTGGTTATAAAATACGAGATGTTTGACCAAATAGATTGCAATAATATATAAGTATATAATACAATTGATGAGTTAATTGTATTAATAAATTCCTAATGGTAAATGGTATTTACAAACGATGTTTTTTTTTTAGATACATATAATATTTTCATTCACATAAAAAACTGTGATGATAATATTCTCGTAACTTTTATTTAGCTCTACAAGTATTAACAATTTATATTATCTATAAAAAATATATTCCCAAACCATTTTCAATTGACAAACAAATGAAACACCAAATATGGGCTTATAAAATATATTGAATACGTATATATTAAGTATATATTATAAATAGAATAAGTAATGTATGTAATATTCATATTCAGATAGTAGGTATGTATATATGTAGAACATCAATTGGTGATTTGCGTTGAAATTGATATAAATCATACACTGCAATACAAGTATATCGTACTATTATTTGACTTTTAATCAGGGGCTGATTAAAATCAAAGGGGAGCGAAAGGGACGGTCCCCCCCTCAAAAAAAAAATTAAATAAAAAAAGGTATTATTGGGCCAAGTTTTTTTTTATCTGATGACCTTTTTTTTTGCTTTCTATCCCCCCCTCTCCCACTATCAATGAACAATTTCTAAATCTGCCCCTGCTTTTAATTTATCCAATAGTTTGATTTTTTTTTTCTCGCCATTATTATAGGTATAGTGATGATATTTCTCATGAAATAAAAAATAAATAAAACTTAGCTTCGATATTGCTAATTACAGATTACAATTTAACAAAATACAATAAATACCATACAGTTAGTAAAAACATTCAGATGGTATTTTGATTTATATAAATATACATAGTATATTATACACTTATACGGTATTCCGGTTCAAGCACACAGTGGTTAGAGATTATGTCCTACTTGCAGATGGTAAAATATATAGGTACAAATGTAATATTATAATCATAAATTATTATTATTTAAACACTGAAAGTTAGCTGATATTTAATATTCGTAGTTTCGTGTAAAATTTGTAATAATGAAAAAAAAAGTTTGCAGTCCAGTATGTTGTATATATCTATATACTATACCTACAAGGTTAGATATATCTCAGAAACACGTACATATGATAAAATGTAGGTATATATAATTTCCGGTTAATGAAAGGTTCATAGACTTTTTTTTAGATGAGAAAGTGGCAATGATTCATTACTTAATTTTCATACAATTTAATACAACATCCGTATGTATAAATACGTAAATACACGTACCTATACATAAAAGTATAAAATGCTTTGGGTATCCATATGAGCAATGATGCTACAAACGCGTAAAAAACTTTTCTCTAACATAAAAAAATATGTACATCACACTGTTCATAAGAATTATGAACTTTTTAATAACACTCCTACATTTGATACTCATTTTTTGACTTTTATTAATAATATTAAATCAATTATTATATAAGTTGTTTCTGTAAGAGAGTGTATCAATTTTTCAAATTCCAAAAAATCGAAAAACGCAGATTTGAATGTATGCAAATAAGTAAAATAAATTTATAAATATTATACAAAATACATAGACAACAAACTGAATTTAAAATATAGTAAATTTGAGATTTCTAAATATTAAAATTATTTAATTAACTATTATTGTTTTATTTATAATAATAAATGACATTCATCATCAAATAAACCGATCCCTAAGAAAATTAGAAACTTTATTTTGCAATGGTTAGAGTAGATTCTGGGCACCTCTAAATATAAAATTACATATAAGTATATAAATTATAAACTTACAATACTTAAACTTTTCCATAAAGCATTTGACTACTATAGATTATTATAATCGTATAACCAATCCAGGTTAAGACGGAAATCCCCTGTGTACAATTTTCCGTGTATCTTTGTGCAAGCAACTAAATGATTCTTATATTTTTGTAGACATATTTGTACAGTTTAAAATCTTAATAACACATTCTTAAAAAAAAAAATTTCTTAAAAATAAAAAATTAATTTTTATCATTTTATAATTTTTTTAGTTTTAAATAACATGATTTGTTTATTTCATATTCTAAATCAGAATATTTTTTAAAAAAATTTAAACAAACAAAAATTAAATTTTGAAATAATAACTCATCGCAATACTCTTTAGAAATCTATTTTTTTTAATTTCTCAATGACTAAATAACTATTTGAATATTTTGAAATTTTTATTGATCATTTTTTAATAATTGAAAAAAAAATGTTATGATTTTCTTTTAATTTATGATAAATAATTTTAACTTAATAAAATATTTCTATTTTTTAAGCATAAAAAATAAATATTAATAAAATTGTACGTAAAATAGAATTATATAATTAACTTTGTTGCATTTTATTATTTAATGTGAATATTTGATTTATAAAATTAATTGAATTAGAATCTATAAGAAATAATAATGTTTATCTTTGTGTTTTTATAACTTTAAAGTTTAAGTAATTTCAACATTTTTATATCTTTTTTTTTTGTAAGTTTTAGGTATCAAGATTTTATTATTTAAAATTTTCTAGATTATTTACTTATTAATTATAAATATTTAATGTTTACATAAGTGTACACAATATAGATAAAATCGGTTTCCGCTAAATACGGTATGAAATTAATAGTATTGCGATAGCGGTTTATTACTCCATTGAAATAAATTATTTTTATATAATATGTATATTCAAAGAAAGTAACATTATTTAATATTATTTATATGGATAATTGTTAATTGAGTATAGGAAGGCACCTAATAACAATAATATTAAACACTGTGATTTACCAAGCATGCTCATCCCCTTTTTTTCATTTAATTATATGCATTTAAATTCAAATTTATGACTTTTTAGCAGATATAAGTATATATAAATCCTAAGGATTATAATGTAATTTAAGGAGTGCCCTGTGGCAATAAAAACACCATTTTTTCCATTTTTTCTGGCAATTATTAGTCATATAATATTTTTAAATCCAAATAAAAATTCAAAAGATGAGTTTAAAGAACCGTTTATGATAATTATTATAATAGGTAAAAAATATAATAATTCTTAAAATGTTATATCAGTTAATATCAATCTATTCATATTTTTTTACTTTTGAAAAATTGTCTGTCGTTTCGTAATAATTAAGTGCTAGACAAAACATTTCATTATTATTATCCTTATAGTACTTAAGTACCTAAGTTCAATAACTCATTGAAACTATTTTTTCGATGAATTGTGCATTTTGCAGTTGAAATAATCCCTTTTTTATTTAAAAAAAAATACAGTTGTATATTACATCAGGTTAGTTAACCTAATCTAACCCATAGAAGGTACTCCTTAAAGCTTAAATGTCTGTAATTATTTAAAAATGTAATATTGCATACAGGGTGAATCAATCCGTATAATGACGTAAACATACTCGTTGAAGTAATTCATTAATTATGACACACCAATGAAGTCTTATCGCAGTATTATATTATAATGAATGACTAATGAAATGGATGGGTATCCATCACGGCAACCCAGTAATTAAGAGTTAATACTACGTTGCTAAATTTTGAGTTTTACCCGCCATAACAATATGTGCTTATTGCTTAAGTAAAAATAGAAAATATTTAAAAGAAAAAACTTGTAAAGGCGTCTTAATTACAAATCAAATTTGGTTAATGCGTATGATCAACTCTTTAGCTAAGTAAGTTTACGACTAATGTCTAATATATAATAATATAACGTTGCACACCTATATACATTGTACACACATTCTTGTACAATATATAGTTCAATAGTTGTATGTTTATGTTGTATTTCAATATGTGTGTGTATATGTATGTACACATATTGTCAGTAGATGTTTTTAATATTATGTTTGTGACGACAGTGTATTATTGTTATTATTATTATTATTATTATTATTATTATTATTATTATTGGCTATCCTGTGTCGGTTTAAAACGGGGCTATTTGTTATAAATTATAACATATATAGATAACTAAAACATGAGAAAAAAGTCAATAAATTAATTACGGCGAGTGCGTCGGCCGCTTGAAACAACAATAATAATAATAGTAATAATAATAATAAAGAATAAATTAATAATTGGTGAAATACCCGAAACACTGTGGTTGTTCGGGGGGTGAGTAGAAGTGGGTGTCCGTGTACATCATGGTTTACACCACCAACCGAATAAACACACGTTGATATTCATTAAACGAATAACAACAGCCACACAACAGTAGCGATAATAAAATACAAATAATATAACGCATAGAAAATAATATATTTACGCTTATATGAGAATTTGAAACACAAATCATTCGCGATTCGTATGTTTTGTGCAATTTTTTCGTACTCGCAATACATGGAAGTTCGTCAACGACGGTGACGATAATAATGATAACGATGATGATGAAGACGGTAATAATCGTTTTATCAAAAACAAAACACGCCAATTATTTGGAAAGCGGTACATATTAATATAACATATAATATTAGCGTGCCGATGTATTTTTCTTTTTTTCTCTTTCGTATGCTGTCACCTACCACTAAGTCGGTTTCATGGTCCATGCATGTTTATTATATTACATTGACGCCTCAACATACCTTATATTTAATGTATAAATATTATTATTAACACATTGTCATCCGATCAATAATTAGAATATGATAAAAGAAAAACAACAAGATTCCTCCAGCTACCTGTTTGAATCGTTCAATCCTTCTCGTGTACAATATTAAGCTGTGTAAACCAATAAAAGCGATCATGAAATCCAATTTTGATTTTTGATTATGTCATATAGTATTACACCATTGAATTCGGCATTCCGTTATCTCTTCTTTATCTTATACTCACTATCCTAGTCTCCTCTAATTAATCTATATTTGTCACATCATATTTCAGCTTATTCATTATGTATTTATGTATATATTTATGAATTACCATCTCCAATTATCTTATCCGTTTAATAATATTATACAGAACGAATTAAAAATAAATTTCGACAAAAAAAAGTTTTTTTCAAAAACGTTTGGACGTACATTTTAAAAAACTCCAATATAATTAGTCAATAATTATTTTAGTTCAGTAGTATAGGATAATGTTGCACAATAATAATATAACGAATATTGATGAATTACACGATACGAACGACTTATTATAAAAGCAGATATTATAATATGATACTCATAGTAATGTTATATTCAAAATTCGTGGTTTAAAATTATCTGTAGTAAATAAATCAAACATACAAATTAATATATATTTATAACTATTATATATTAGTATAAATATTTATATATAAAATTATACATAATATTATAGAGTTATTTACCATAGTTGAGCTAGTAAAAGCAATCATAAATTACAACAGTTTATGCAACAGAAATATAACAACAGAACATTAAAAATAATATTGTAGGTGCCTACATACTATAGTAATACAATTATATATCATGTAATTGATCTTTTATACTTAAATTTAAAACAAATTTTGAAAAATTTTTTTCGAAAAAGTGGTCTATACGCTCAGACATTTTTTACTAGCGTTTGTTAAAAAATAACAACAATTACAATTTCATGAAATACATGTCTGTTTAATTTTTTCATCGAGGTGAACTTATTTGAATATCTGTTGCAACATAATATGTTTATTGTTATAATATTGTATTGTGATTCGGTTTGATATTAACGCACGCAAACTCGCACTCAAATACATATTATATTACGTGAACTTGCATATTATTATGTATACGAATATTGTTCCTTGCTGTAGATAATAATATGAAATAAATTAAAGCTAGACTTGCTAGTTCTCCATTAATTTATCTGCATACATAAATATGTTGAACAACTCATATTTATATATAGATTATAGGTTTATAATATGTAATAATAGGTAGCATGATATACTTATTATGTGTATAATATATTATAATTCCATCGTAAATATTCACAATATATGATATCCATAAGTTTATTTTATTTTATTTATTTACAGTATCGGCGTGGGAAGGGCACATTTTGAAAAGCAACCTCCTAGCAATCTGAGAAAATCCAATTTTTTTCATTTCGTGATCGCGCTGTACGACAGGTCTCAACAGCCAATTGAAATCGAACGAACTGCGTTCATTGGATTCATCGAAAAGGATCAGGTAAGCTTTATTATATGTATATATTGTTTATAAGTAACTACTATTTATGTTTCCTTTACAACTTATCTATATATACGTTTTATCTAATCGTGCGTACAGTGTATAGTACAATGTGTGTACAGACAGCGTGTATTTTACAGTAGGTATATAATATATAATATTATTATGTATGATAATATGTTATACCTATTTGTGTAGTACAACATTTAAATAACAAAACAGGAATACACGACGTTTGGCCCTGTTTTTATTTTTAATTTAAATAATAATGATGTAGAATTTAACATTATGATGCGTGTGTTTATTTATGTATTTTTTTTTATTAAATTCACATTGTCGTTTTGTTTCGTCATCAATCATCATCCCTAATATCGTTGCAGCCTGTGTTTATTTAAAACCAATTTGGTGCGAAACCCATTTGTCACACACAGTGAGTTGAGAGATGATGATTATAATATAATATACAAAAGCCTCGATGGGTTAATCCGGATTTAAGTTTATCCAAAAGTAGGTGACGACAATATGCATAACTCGATGTAATAAATACAATAATGGTATAAACGCTACAAATAGTAGTATAATGATTTAATACATACAAATACCCACTCCGTGTTTCCCAATTATACAAATCTACGCGCTTTAATAATGTGTCATACACTTGCATCATTGTACATAAATTAACCGTCACTTTACCTGTTAAGGTGTTATGTCAAATATGACGCTGGATGCCGTGACTACTTAATCTATAATAATAATATCGTATTTTGCGTTCAGAATTTCATGATTAATTATGTTCGTAACACGTCATTTGGATGCGATCGATTAATTTACCGCTCAAAATTCATTTACACTACTAAATACAACAAAACACTACCTCGGAGAACTATAATATCATATACGACATAATATAGTATTTGTAAGGGAATTCATCCATGTATCCATATTACATTGATATAATAATAATATTGTATTGTATTTGAAGGTACGTGCATGTACATCACATGATTGCATCACAATCCCTTTCCGTTTTGATAATAATACAACTTCATTACTCATTTTAAAAATACAGCAATGACCTTTTTAACATAGATTATTTATCCATATATTTTTATTTTTATAATGTGCTAAAAATATAGATCTCCAGAATTACCATGATCATATTGTCAAATAAATACAATTTAAATTTTTTATGATTAATGTACAAATTTGCTTAAGTAATTATTCGCCGATTATTATTATAGTTCAAAATGTAATTTTAGCCATCTGACAATTGGAATTTCGTGTTCATAATTACCAGGCTTCAGATTAATACTGGTGTAAATCATGATTAATGAGATAGAATTTATTTCTTAACGCCTGGAAATATATTATATAGTATCCAACAAACATATGCAATGTCGTCAAAACCTGCTATTATTAATAATATTATATTATGTCATGAATTTTCAACGACGCTTTATGATAGCCATACGATATTTTATATATAAATACAATTTTTTTACAAAAACTGCACATTTAGACATTATAGTGTATTCTCTTTTAATACTTAACAACCTATATCCAACATCGAGCAATCGATAGTTTTTTTTTTTGCGTACCCAAAATAAAATAGACCTAATCTATTTCAATCTTGTAACGAACACTGCTTACTGTACGGAAAACATTTGTATGTTGCGGTTATATCCATGTGAATGTGACGCGAATTATAAATGCACATTTATATGTTGGTACCTAAGTACGTATTCACTCGTTGTCCACTTCGTTCGCTCTACTCGACTTACTTTTATATTTATATGTCGTGGATATTTGCATAGTGTTCACAGACGATGGCGCCCATGGTTTATTATAGACTTTCGGATGAGATATATGTTTGACGATAAAGTGCATGTTTCGATAAGTCAAAGTTTGTTTGTTTTGATGATTCCGCGCTCGTACAAAATCTTCTGTAATACATAATCAAACATGAATCTTGTATGTACGTTTCAGGAATCCGAGTCACAGAAGACCAACAACGGTATTCAGTATAGACTTCAGCTGTTGTATGCTAATGGTAATGAACGTGCGCTGTTGCTCAAAAGCAGTCTGTAACTAAGCTAATTTCGATACTGTTTTATTTATTTAGGTGTGCGACAAGAACAAGACATATATGTGAGGCTCATCGATACCGTTACCAAACAGGTGAGTGATTTTATTTTTTCTAACGAAGTAATGATTAATAATAAGTATACGTTCAATAATGAACTATAATATTATAAATATTTAGTACGCAGAGATCTTAAATGTTATATAATATACGATATCACTATTATATTGAAATAATATGCACTCGGATTAGAAAAAAATACCACGAGAGATAAATTTGATGCAAAAAATAAAAAGCGATTAATTGTTTTTTTCACGTTTTTGTGATTTTTAACGTGCGATGTTTAATTGGGATTGTTTCCTATTTGAAAGCGATTAATTGATGAGTGTGAAGTTGGCAATCCAATTACATTATTCCGACTTTAAATTTAATTAATACTTAGCAAGTTAATTGCAAGTGACTATTAAGAATTTATAAGTTTATTTATTCCTTAATGACAGTAACAATTTTTACTTTGAATGAAACGTTTCCCCCCACGTGTTCCGCCCAAAACTCAAAACCCAACATGGACCTAGTGTGAACACTTATATCTATTATAATATACAAAACATATATGTACTTATGTTTCGATAAAATCGCTAAAAAAACTGAATATGTCATCAATCATCACTGATGAAAAAGTACATATCGTTTAAATATGTAGTTACAGCAGTTTTATAAATAATATTGTTTTGTTATGTACCTACCGTTAATCGAATAGTATAAAATTGCGACTGTTTTAAATAACTAGTATAATGCAACTACAACATATGCAATTTATCTATATCAAATTATATTCATACGTTTTCGTGGCAAAAAAAATACAATCGGAATTCGGAAGCCAATACTAAACGACACGTTCAATTGCATAATGATTATTTACGTTGCTGTTTAGGCACGCGCGTGAGTTTGAACGTTAGTATTATAATATATAGTAGGTAAATAGGTACTATACGTATAATATACGCATCATGTATGTTCAAAGAACGATGAGATTTGAAGTAAACAACGGGTGACTTTTTTCATTCACGAAGTGAATGAAAAAAAGGTTTTATTTGCATTTAATTTCCGGTTTTTTTTTTTTTAGTCAGAAAGAGATATTGTCGACGAAAAGGGTCGAGAAGTGTATTCGTAAAGGACCGACGTTTACGGTTTTATTCTGTATATAGGTATACTAACTGCATGATTTTATTACATTATTATTAAATTGTTTAGATGCTGGCGAATACAATTTATGCGATTTACTAATCTATATAAGAACACGATAAAATCAATCGATTTATCAAACGTACGTAGGTACTCGTATTATTATGTATTAACACAACGCAACTAATCGTACTGCCATATATTCGAATGTAGTTTTAATTTTGATTACTCTTAATTTCACTATTATGTATTTAATATTAAGCATTTTATTATAATCGTTGAGCTGTAATAGTTTTATACCCGAAGCTAAATACAAAAAAAAAAAACGTAATTACGATCTATAAATCCAAACTCTGTCCTTTTATAAAACAATAAAGTGATTCTTTTAATAGCAAAATTATAAATATTCGTATTTTCCCGTTAAGTATTAACTTTTTAGAAAATTGTTTTTTTTAAATATTATAATTGGTCACATACCTACTAAATAATTCCGGTAAAAAAATCCTGCTTCTGAATACGAAAAATATCATTCAAAAAAGTAAAAAAACTTAATTGTAATACAAAAATATTAAAGTTTAGAATTTTTTCAAATATACGGTGTTGTAATGAGAACAAATACTTTGAGAAAATGAGCGTTTACCTTTAAAAAAAACACCATTCAAATTTCGTGCATCGTCGTGTCTATCGGTTATAATTTGTTTTCCACAGAAGTTTTCGTTTCCTATATCGTTATATTTTATATATGTTTACAATATTATACGACCTTTTTATCTCGGTCAGATAAGACACAATCATTATCTTTGGTACGGATATCATCAACGGTGGCAACGCCTTGCATCACATATTATTTTATAAGTTCCTAGCAAATATCGCATACGTATCGGACCAGTGGGTCGCGTTTGTCGCTACGTTCTTAGACCCGCGTGATCGTATACAATTTTAATTATAATGTACAATACAGAATTATAAAAAATATTATATTACTCGAACGTCACGTGCGCTGCACGGCCAGGAGAGTATAAATACGTGTGTGCGTGTGCAGTGGCGGCGGCACGTGCCACGCCCCCCCACCATTCCCACCGCCACCGCATACAACGCCACCACAATCTGATCCTCTCAGTGACGCGCGTCGCTCGCCGCCGTTACTGTCCATCCGGCGTACGCCCACTAAACGGCTTTATCAACACGCATATTATACATGATGTTTTATTTATTCGTATATATATATATATATATATATATATATAGGTATATATGCACACGACCGTCGTCGTCGTGTTTGTGACGATTATTATTACGATTACATTCGTTAAAATCGAAACTCTCTAGGTCCTTCCACCGCATCTCTTTTTAAACATCCCTTGTTTTTTATTCTCGATTTCCTCGCCCTTGTACGATGTACCAATATAATACTAATAATATAATATACAACATAATTACACATTATAAGTATATTACCTATTACATTATAGGTAGGTATAAACTTGAATAATAATATACTACGAGTATATCATACGACATTCATCTGGGTGAAGTGGAAAGGGACTAGGGAGCAATGCTATATTTATAGGTACATAATATTAAAATATAACATCACGTAATCTCTGATTTGAAGTTAAGGTACCTGATAGGTTAACAGTAATATAACTAATAACATCAAGTGTTTATGTAAATGAATACCGTACTTATGAAAACTTTAAAATAAAATGCAACCTTCCAAGCAAAAATATATCAACAGCTATCAATACTCTCACCCCGATTCGATCAAAACATATATCAATTACATTATCATCTTAACAGGGGCGTACCCAGGGGGGGGGGGTCCCGGGTCTAGATCCCCCCTTTCACCATTTATTAACTGACATGTAATATTTAACACTTTGTTTAAATTTTAAGTTAATAAATCAATATGTTTGTTGATTTTTTAATCACATAATTGTTTAATATTTTAAAAATGTGGACTTTCTTTGAAAAATTTCTAAGTACGCCCCTGCGTTTCAAAACTCTTAAATTAATTATCAAAGACAGTTACTTAGTTGTTTACCACCATAAAATATTAAAATATACATTTATTTTTTAACTGTTAACTATTAAAAATTAATAAATTATTATAGAAACACTAACATTTTCTAAGTCCCTTTACTTATGATGCTAAGGGATACAAAAAAAAAAATAATAAATATATATACATTAAACATATTGTCTATGTATTATTATGTAAACCTTGTTCGATGTGGTCTACTAATCACTTTTGTGACTTGAAAATATAGATAGGTACGTAAATTAAAATATTTTGAATTACCTTATTTTCAACTTCCCCCTAAATGGTATATCTAGGTAAATGGTCTTCTATATACCCAAAAACCTCCGTTAATCAAACATTCTTTTTTTATTTATTTTTTTTTTTTTTATTTGTGATAGAAATTATAGTAATTCATAAAACTAAACTGGCACTGAATACTTAAACACGATATTAGGTTCGCAACGACTAAAAAATTGTATGATTCTACGAGGTCCTTATATATATATATATCATATCTAAGTAAAATGTATAGAAATGTGAGCAAAGGATATTATATTAAAGGTAATGTTACATATAAGTGTGTTATATATACTAAATATTTATGTAAAGAATATACGACAAAAACGTATAAAATGAACACTTTAATCTAATTTTCAAATCTGCAGACATTCTATACCTATATATTTAAATGCATTGTAGATTATATATTTTATCTTTATAATGTTATAAAGATAGTATTTTAGTTGGATACACGCGCACGTGAAATGGAACTATTATGAAACCTGTTGCGTGACAATTCGCATGAATAAACGTGATATTTGTGTATTCATGCATTACAAATATATTATTTACCATAATTAATTTCAACAAGAATGTTGTACTATATTCTATATATATATATATATATATAATGTAATCTAATCCGAAGAAGATATAAAATTATTAATTTTATAAGTACCTAAACATGGTCATTCTGAATTTGTGTTCCATGAATTTTATAATATAGAATTCACTTAAGCCCATTAATGTCCACCGATTTTTAAATTACTTAAAAGTTTAAGTTAAAACCCTAATAACCATATTCTATCCATGGACATCAATTACATACAGATAAAGTGATTCATCGAGCATATTATTCTCTTCTATTGTTTTCTTTTAATAATTAATTTATTCAACATTTCAGACTTATTTAGTTAATCTAAAGATAAGATTTTCAAAATATAATCATATTTTTATACCATTTAAAGAATATCTCATAGAGTTATCATCGATTTTTATTTGATAAGAGCTCTACTTTTTCAGTGAATTGTTAACTAAATAATTTTTTATTTAAATTTTAATGCATCTAATCGAATTTTAGAAGAAGAATTTTAGAGTTATTTAAATGTATAATATAATATAATGTATATGCATAGGTAAATGGACATGTCCATAGTATTGAGCTTAAATGATTTAGAGGACTATCATAATTTAAATATTTTAGTAATTAATATTAATCTAAAAAAATATTTTATATTACACAATAAAAACTGTAATATATTTTATATATTTATAAACTACTAATTAAAACTTTGATTTAAATACTTAATAATATTTTATTGAATAATATCTATATTATAAATTTATAAGTAATACAGCTAGTATTGTAGTGATAAAATATAATTTTATGTGACCGTACAATTCGAACAATATGTAAATGTAATAAATTGTTAATTATATATTTTATTTTATAAGGATTAGTTCTTTTTTACTTTAAAAATCTAATTAATTTTTATAGAAACATATACATACTGCATGGGACGTATTATACCTAAGAATATTTTATGATTGAATAGCAGACAATGAAAATGCTTTAAATTTCATTCCACTTCTTACATATTATATGAT